CCACGAATACAGACTACTTTCTGACAGAAGGGAATTGGTGAGGTAGTGCAGCGATGCCAACCTCACCAAAAACCATGCTTGGTGAGTAGTGTGCCGAGGCCCAATGCCGTTCAATTGCAAAAGAAATGGAAGAACTTGAAAAGAGAAAGAGACAAAGGAAGAAGAGGAACAAAGGAAAGAAAGAGGACGAAGAAGATGTACACCAGCAAAGACCAATGACAAGTGCCCCTTTTCTCGCCACTCACTCTTTATCTCCCCCAATCTTATTCTTCAATAAATCATAGTAATAACAATGAATGGCTGAACCAGAACCGATATCCTAATCTCCCTCTTACTGCCAGCACAACATCAGGTGCGCCATACCCATGACCTTCTCCTTCTACCTCCTCCAGTAGGTGATGGCTACGGCAGACTACTAAGGGCCCTGCCCGGATGTTCAAAAGACAATGCAAAAGCAGCTAGTGTCCTCTACAACTCAGGCTGTCATGCCGGACTCTGCCCTGAAGCCTTCTTGATGCAGCGCAACCCCTACTGGGGTCTTCCAGGTGCAGCGCCTACGGAAGAGATGAAGATGGCGTCCACTACGATGGCCGGTAAGTACCCCTACCACTCTCCTCCTCGGCCCCTTCTTCCTCCTCCTCCTTCCTGGTCCAGTCCACTATAGCCAAGGTGTATGCCAAGGCGCTCCCCCTCCCAGCACTATGCACCAGCACTCTACCACCAGGCGCTCCAGCAGCGTGACGCCCAAACTTCCACATCGCAAATGAGGATGAGCCTAGTGCTCTCCTCCAAGATATAGCGTGCAACTTGCCTCTTGGGAGGTGACTTCCAGGCCGCGCGGCCTCCCAAGCAACCGGTACCTCCTCCCCCTAGACTCAGACTTCAGGACTGGTACCGTAGACCTAGGCCTACCGGACTCCTAAATTTCACATGGCCTCCAAAGGTACAAACTTTTTGTCTTCTTCTGCTTGGCCTACCGCTACTCAAGTACTACCCTAAGCTACACGGGCCTACACTCCGCTGCAGCACTCATAGTCACAGCCACAGGTAAGTACCAGCCCCAAGGGCCTCCCAAACAAACGAGTACCCTGGCGGTCACACACACACTCAGGCAGACATGCACTCAGACAGGCACACGGAACCCAGCAAGCACGCGCACACACAGACTTAGAAAACTCAGTGGAAAACCGGAATCTCAGCAAGGCACGCATTCCAGCGGCAAAACTCAGAAATCAGCAGTGTTCTCAGTCTGTGTTGTTGCAGGTCGTTACACTTCTAAATTCTGCATTCACGGCAATATAGATAATTGTCGAGTGTACCTTCTATTCTAGAACGGCTTGTAGGTACCTCCCACAATTACACTATCCTAACTAAACGGCTATCTAACACACAAACCAAGGACCGTCTGATACCAGCCTACCCGGCTGGCTGGAACACTTCTCGTTTCCAACACAACCCATGGCGCTATCACCCACTACTATGCCTCCAGAGACAGCAAACAGAGCGCCATGGTTATATCTACGCCTAAACCTGTCCTTTACTAGCCTATTTTCTTAGCCTGGCTGACTCAGTGGGCAAGTGTGGTAGCTCAGTGGGTTAGAGCTCTGGCGTCACAACGGGGAAGTTGTGGGTTCGATTCTGTCACCCCTTAATTTCCCATCTCCCCTACACACGATCAGCTGGTGCTAGTAGTTGGCACCCTACATACTTGTCCCCCAGCATAGTACAATGCACAGATAGATCACTGACAGATGATGGAGTAGCTCAGTGGGTTGAGCTTGGGTGCTGCAGGGCAGAGGTCCAGGCTCGATTCTGATCCGCCCTTGCATCGCACAGCATGGATATAGCTGGGCTGCACGCACGGATGGGCCTGGTAATAGATAATCACATAGTAGTGGGTTACCTTAGGGTTCTGCTTTGGGGGCGTAAGGTCGCAAGTGGGATGGTTTGGGGGGGCTTTGTAGCGTAGGGTATGTCTGCTTCCCATGTTGATAAAAGGCACCAGAGTGGGCCCAGTTATGACAGAGGTATGGGAGCGGATGGCGGCCATGGAACTGCTGATGACCGAGACTGGTGCTGGTCTGGGTGATGACCAAAGACAGAACTATAACCAGTGGAGGGGCTAGTCGATGGCCAAGGTCTAGGAACGGTTGGTTGCATAGGGTGCCAATGGCATGTCCCTAGGACTGATGACAGAGGCTAGTGTTCCTCCAGATGATGAAAACTACTGAGAAAGTACTGTAATGACTGGAGGGTCTAGTTAATGACCGAGGTATTGGAATGGTTGGTTGGATAGGGTGCCATGGGCATGTTCGTACTGATGACAGAGGCTAGGTTTCCTCCAGAAGATAAATTGACAACCCATAATAACCAGCAACCACAACAAGATATGTGACTCAAGGGGGTTCCAGTGCATGGATAAGGTAGAGGGACGGATGGTGGCCGTGTATCTACTGATGGAAGGCTAGAGCCTCTTGGTCACAATCAGAGCAAGAACAGTACGATAACTAGAACAGCTGTGCTAGGTGGATATATCCGGATTGCTCAGGGGGTGTCATAGGTTTCAAGTTAGACCTTCGCTAGGGGGAGGGGCGTTAGACACTGCTGTGATATCTGGGGTGTTCATGATAAGATCCATCTATTGGGAGCAGGGATGAGTTTTGGGGCCATTTAGGGTCTACTCATGGGACTTGTTGAAGAACACTTATGCCTAGCACCTGAAGTACCCATGGGACGTTGCTCATTTGACTGTGCTTTAACCGGTGCTGAGGCACCACACGTCGCAAAGATGGTAGAAGGGTGATGGTCCTGAGTGGTAGACACTAAGGTAGGACAGAGGGAGGGGAGGTGCACTGGGGGAGGAAGGATGGGTCGTGGGTCTCATGGGAAGTAAGACCCTACAAAAGAAGAAAAAAAAACAGAAAAAAGGAAGGAGAGAAAACAAAACTTCCCTACTCAGCCATAGGTTCAGCCCCAGCTTGCGAGTCCAGGTGACCCTCACCAACTGATTCCCAAGGCACCATGTGTTCAGGAACCAAGAAAAGGCATCCACCCCTCTCCTCTTTCCCACCTTCCTCGAACAATCTGCTGGGTTGCATAAGAAACTTGGAGTGCCTTAACTGTGCCCTCTGCCTGTTCTTCTGACACCTTTTCGAGTGGAAACACTCTCATAATTCCCGTCGGTCCAGATTACCCACAGGGGCCAACGAATTACTGCTCTCCAGACTCTCCCAATTTGTCCGACATAACCCCAACCCTTTTCTCCACGGAGACCTTCAGGTGGTGAGCCTTGTAACACCCATCATTCCCCTGCCGGATCTCTCCTTCATTGATGTGTTTCCAGTGATAATCCCACCATCTCCACCACTTGTGAAAGACAGCACAGGACCACCACATGTGCCTCATCAATTCATTATGTCACCGACATCTCTAACACATTGCCCCCACTTGCTCATTCCTATTCCTCAACCATTCTGCAGTATGGATAGGAAGGTGTGACTGGAGTCAGAGGGGGGAGCCTGATTTCTGGGAGGGGATGTCACCGGATGTGTTTGAGCTGAGTTCGCAGTCTATCACATTCCTGCGATGGAGAAGGGGGGAATGTCTGGCTACTGCCTTAAACCACCAGCACTGGGCCTATACATCGGCTGTCGGCCCTTCACCGCGACTTTCGGACGCCGTAAACGCAACAAAGGCCCGTGGCTCGTCAACGTGAGGGGCCCGTGGCCGATGTATGGCCCAAGTGCTGGTGGCTTAACCCAAAAACAACATATGTAGGTTATGTAGGAGAAGAATGTATGGGGTACATTGTACTTGAAAACAACGCATGGGGTAAAACTCTAATTCCAGACAGAAAGAAAATGAGCTGACATCAAACAGATTTGGGCCTAAGGGCCCCTTCTTGTTTACTCGGCCCGGTCCCAATGGGTACCTAGTGGTCCCACGTAGGCTGTGACTGAGTCTCGCATGGATCTACCTTCTGCCTCTACCGAACTGAAAAACGGATTTCAACTTGAGAGAGAACCTACCAACTACAGCCGTTCACAGATAAAAAGACAAACACTATAGAAAGATATGGTGTCCTTCCTGAACTCCCTTAATAGTTCTCAGATTGTCCTTAGCTGAAGCCTAATGGCCCTGCTATTTCAAATGACTTGTATAATTCTATATGGGACATTGGGCCCGGTTCCCAGCACGTGCTTCTCCCCACGAATAGACTGGAGCATTTGTTCCAAAAAAAAAAAAAGAAAAAAAAAAAAGAAGAAGAAGAAAAAAAGAAAGAAAGAAAGAAACAAAAGAAACAAAAAAAAAAAGAAAAAAGAAAAAGGAAGATAAGGTGTCCAAAGCAAGATACCTAATCTCTTCATCCATCAGTAAGAATTTCAAAGCAGTTTGCATACCCATATGCACAATCAAGACCACAGAGGAGTAGGAAAAGAATTTCAAAGCAGTTTGCATACCCATATGCACAATCAAGACCACAGAGGAGTAGGAAAAGAAACCCACGCCGGATGTAAACGAAGGCTAGTTGCTACAAACATAACATCAGGAACTTATGATGATTGGATTAGTTCTGTAACCTCCGCTCCCTCTACGCATACTCTTTCCATGGTAAGCAGGCACCGCTGCCACCTAACAGGCACCGCGCCGCTAGCGCTAATTTGCGCTGCGGACCGGCCGGCAAGGCCCGGCCGCACTCCGTGGACTGGCGCAGGGATGGTGAAAGGTGCCATCTCTGTGCTTGGTCATCCTGCTGCCCGTCCGGTGCTTCGGCCCGGGCGTAGATGGGGTTTCCACGTGGCAGTTGTAGGGGACGGCACATCGGCGTGAAGGAATCAAGTTGTGAGTAAAGACGTGGCGCGGTTGTTAGGGGAGCGGCTCTGACAAAACAGTAAGGCGGCTCTGACAAAACAGTAAGATACCATAACAGCAAGTTTGACGACAAACGGCGGCTTCATCTACGGCTATATCGATGGCGCAGATGGCGATGGAGGCGGCGTCCATGCAAGACGATCTTGCTGCCGCTGGCTTTGGAGAGGAGGGTGCCGCACTGGAGATTGTGCAGATGTACAAGTGACAGATGGAGGAGATCTATACTACGCTTATCCAGCATCGACACAATCTACCAGCGGATCTTCTCGACGAGGGTGAGGAGCTGGTCGGTGGTTGGGAGGAGGACCTCTATGCAGATCTTCCATCTCAACAGCTGGGCGTGATCGAAAATGAACAAGTGATGGTGGAATTGGGTGTTTGTGCTGAAATGATGAAGAAAGTAAAGGGAATCTTCGATGAACTTAGGGAGGGGTTGTATGGGGGTGTAAGGTGTGATGATGTGGAGAAGTGCTGCTGCGCGGGGCCTGAGGAGGGGCAGGTGCTGCGCACTGCGATGCAGGATCGATCGTGGGAAGTGGAGGTCGTGATTCGTCGTGGGGGGCTTGAGGAGGGGCGGGGTCCTTGCGGCGAACTGTTGGAGCGTGACAACGACACAAGCACGATCGGTAGGTATGATAACACCGATTTCAGCACAAAGAGTAATGACATCGCCGGCGGTTACAGCTTCAACACCAATAAGAACAACAATGACGATGATAATAAGCGTATCGTTAATGATTGCGGTGATGATTGTTTCGAAGCAGGAGATACTGCTTTTTTTTACGCTTTCTTTGACGCTGTCGCTGACGACAACAACAACAACACCACTATCAACAAAAGCGGTGAGATCAACAGAATTCATGATAGTGGTGAGGACAACAACGTCGGAGATGACTTCCTCGAACGCGGTGATACTGCTTTCGTTGAGGTCGTCGCTGGGAACGGCAATGACATTTGCGATGATAATGACAATAAGCTCAACAACAATGGTGGCAACTACGTCATTCATATGACCAGGGCTATCAACAACAATAATGTGGTTGGAGACAGCATATATGACAAACGTCATGATAATGCGCAGGCTCTCTCCCGCTCTTTCCACCTTCTCTTTTCGCTTCACTGGTCTTTCGTGAAGCCCGATCAGGGCTTGGGGTGTGTGGGGTGGGTGATGGGCAGGTTTGGGATACAGAAAGATTGTGTGGCGAAGAGGGATACTGGATGGAGGCGAGTAGGGGTGGGATAGAGCTGTTAGGGAAAATTGGGCCGCACAGGGCAGTGCGTGAAAACATCGCTTTCTCGCGGGGTTGCGTGGTGGTATTTGGGTTTCGTATGGTCTTTTACTATACATGATTGAGCAGGTGGCGAGGAAGTGGGAATATGTCGCAAATCGCAAATTGCCACGTCGCTGCTCCGTGATATTTCTCTATCTACCCCCTTTTCTTCGACACGGATTGGTATGAGCTGCTTCCGCGTTTGATCCCCTCTGTTTCATCGGTCGACGTGCTGTTGGTTTATTTCTGCTTTTGTCTGCCTGATAGCGAGTTCAGAGCAGGCGAAGATTAACGGTTGGAGGTTTCGATGGGGGATGGCATTTTTTATCTTCCCTATGGATGACAACCCCTCTTCCTCATAGGCATGTTTACGATCCATGTGGCTTATGATGAGGAATTTGAAGTAGGAATATGATTCTGGATTTGGATGGGCAGTTAATCCCCTCAGTTGAGGGCAATCAATGCTGCCCACCGGGTGCTTGGCGTGCTAACGTGTCGGGTTAGAAGATTAGCTGGATTGACACGTGGCTTGCCCATATGAGTTCAAATATCTCCATAACAAACACTTTGAAATGTAGAGGGACGCTGGACCCGTTTTTCAGCAGGTGCTGCTCCCCACCAATAGATGGAGCCTCCCCGAGCATGCTACCGGTGTCTGCTCTTACCAGCAACCCTAGCATTCACTTGGGTTGTTCATTTAAAAAAAAAAAAAAGATGCAGAATAGGGATAAACCACCAGGATCCTAAAGCATGCTCAGACCTCAAATTCCCTAACAAGAAACTTTCCAACATTCCCCAACTTCGTCTCACTCCCTACCGAGCTCTTCCAGGCCTCATGCCCCCACTACCTGCTGGGATACAGGGCAACACAACTCACCCCAGCTCCGGCCAGCGTCGTCTCAGCAGCGAACCTTGGTTGTCCCTTAAGATACCCCCCCAACGTATCCCCAGATCTCTCTTTACCCGGCCTCACACTCCTGTTTCAACAGGTTACAGGGCAATACCCCAGCACCGGCCTTCGTCGATCTAGCATAGAACAGCCACAGATCTCTGAGTATAACAACTTTAAGATAACGTAGGAAAGGTTGATAGACATCTCAGAGACCCAAACATACTTAGGTCCTCCTAACAGCCAAACCTWTTCCCCCTGCTCYCCACTTTTACTAAAAAAMMMCATCTGAAGAATTCCAGTAATHAAAAATTCGGTGASTAACAGAAAACCACAAAGCTTKCTCTGAATTACTCCCRCGCCCTTGAAGCCCCTCACGATCCTTTCCAAGATTCCCTCTAAGCTGTCTTAACTCTTTGCCGAGCTCATCCAAGTCTCACACCCCCATGCTGCTGGGTCACAGGGCAACGCAACTCACCCCAGCTCCGACCAGCATCGTCCCGACAACAACCCTTGATTGTTTCGTAGAATGCCTACCCCAAAGCACTCCCAGACCTCTCTACCAGGCCCCACGCTCCTGCATCAGCAGGTTACAGGGCAGCACCCCAGCACCGGCCAGCGTCGTTCTGGCTTCAAACAATCGCGAATCACTCAGTGTAACAGCCTCAAGCCACCTCAGAAAATTTCTAAAGATCCCCAGAGACAAAAGCAATTCAGACAACCTTAAGTACCACCCACCATCCAGCTTCTTCCCCCCCGACGCAGAGAAAGGATTTGTACCTGAGCGTCAGTCCTGGTACCAGACGCACCCGGTCTCACACCCCCCTTTACTAGAGTGACAGGGCCACACAAACTGCCCCAGTACCGACCTGGCTTGTTCTGACGGAAACAGGAAGTGTCTTCCTCCCTTGACTCCTTCCATAACTGCAAAGCCCCCCAAGGTTACAGGAACTAGGATAACCCAAATGGAACTCACGTTGAACCAATCGAATATAAGCAAGAAAGCAATTGTGAACGTAATTTTAATCGTAAAATTATCCGAGATGATCTGAGATTATCTGAGATCAGGGATGTCCAAAACCAGACTCATGCTTATGCAGACTCAAGAACTTATAAGAAATTTGAGATAAAATTGAGAAACTATTGAGAAATTACTGAGAGAGTATTAGGAAATGAAAATTTATGATCAGAAATAAAAAATCCGATAACGAAATTAAAAATCGAATTTCAAGTTTGGGAATATCGCTCATCAAAAAGAACGCCTAAGAACAACGAATTTTGAGCATAGGAGACACAACTTTTATTTTGAGGAAAATAAGAATGAATACAGCCAAAACGAATCCCGAAGTTCTACACGATGCCAGAGATTATATGCATCTGGACACGTTTGTGAAATTTATGAGCTTAAAAGAACGTTTGTAGACTTGTCACCTACAATTAGGCAATCTGCACGGCAAACAGAGTTAGTCTTGACACACGAGCATGGCAACCATCCTGAAGCTCTCGCAAAAGCAGCGTCGAAGAAAAGTCACCTCCGTAAATCCTCCATGAATCTTCTCTTCACTCCCCCCTCCCCCTCCACTTGCATGTGACGTCGATGCCAGGACGACGCTGGCCGGAGCTGGGGCTTTGCCCTGTAACCTGCACGGGAGCGTGAGGCCTTGTAGAGAGACCTGGGATTGCCGAGGGAGGAAGGCAATCTAAGGACGAACTGGGGGGGGCTGCTAGGTGGCGAGAAGGGATCAGCTATGGCTGACGTGGGATAGGGTCGTACTTGTCTCCGAGTTACTATGTTTTTGGCGCAAGGAAGGCTAGGAGTTACTGTGGGCTTAGGGTCTTTTACAAATATCAATCATCATCAGCATTGGTAACACCATTATCACAATCAGTTACATCCTCACATGAGGGACGCTGAGCCCGGTTCTCAGCAATTTCGGTTCGGTTACTCCGGGTAGACTGTGAGGACCCCGGCCTCGATATGTTCTTTGGTAATATCAGCCTTGGGCACTGGGCCCGTTTTTTTATAAAAAAAAAGAAAAAAAAAGCGGGAAAAGAAACCCAGAATAACTCAGCAGGACAAACAATACCATGCAGACATTCATGGGCGTCTCGTAGGTGCACGACACTTACTTGAGTGACTTGAGCGCCGAGATATAGTAGAACTCACCCCCCTCTCATATGGTCCTCCTGACCCCTTTAATGCCACCCCTACACTAGTGTCCTATCTACTAGGAGGGTCTGACTCCAACACCAAAGTGCAATGCCGGATCCCCCGCTGATGCTGAAGATCAAAGTAGCAACTTGCGGTCCGTAGATGCAGAATGGCTACTTCCCTCAAATTCGCCTACTTGAGGGAAGCCCTAAAGTTGCCAAGTGTCACCCTTAGGTCAGATTCCAGGTGTGAGAGCCTCTCACTGTCACCTCTCACAAATTGTAGTACCAAGTCTTCTCGAAGTGTCTCGCCAGCCCAATCTTACACTCTTGCAACCTGATTAGGACCAATGTCGACCTAACACAATCTAACTAGGTGGGCTAACCACGCTGCCCACTTCCCTGAACTTTCCAGCCCGAAGTTAAGTCATAGCCCTCCCACTTAGGTTAGGGTTGGAGCGGCAGAGTCAACTCTCACCAGCAAGCAGAATCCGCTCTGATACCAATGTTACGATCCTGGCCAATTTCAAAGTACAAATTCACGAAAGAGCACAATGCCCGGATGCCGTCCAATTGCGAAAGAAGTGAATGAACTTGAGTGGAGAGAGGGAAAGGAGAAGAAGAAGAAGAAGAAGAAGATGAAGACGAAAGAAGAAGAAGAAAATGAACACTAGCAAAGACAAATGAGAATCCCCCTTCTCCTCGCCAACCGAACTCCTCCTTTTCTCCCCCCCTCTTATTCAAACATAAATAATAATAATAATGAATGCAGAACCAGAATCAATGTCTGAATCCCTCTTCTACTGCCAGCACAACTTGAGGTCCACCATAGCCATGGCCACCCTTCTCTCCTTCGTCTTCATAATCCCGGTGGTTCTCCCACCACCACCAGGATAGAGGCCTTGCGCAGGGACCTTCAAAAAAAAAAAAAAAAAAAAAAAAAAGGCTGAGGCTATGGCGTACTACTAGGGCCCTGCCCTGACGTGCAAAAGACAACACAAAGCAGCTATGGTTGCTTCCACTTAGGTCGCCATGCCAGACTCTTCCTTGAAGCTTCTTGGTGTAGCTCTACCACAATGGGGCCCTTCCAGATGGTGTCCACCATAGCCAGGTAAGTACCCCTGGCGCTCCCCTACCCTAGCTCCCTTCTTCCTCCTCCTCCTGCCCGAGCTCCTCCACCATAGCCAAGGTGGGGAGTTGGGTGCCCTTCCGCACACTAGCGTTGCTCCTCAAGTGTTCCAGTAGCCTGACGTCCAAACTTGCACATCGCAAATGTGGACCACTTTGCTCCTTCCGGAGATATAGCGGCCAACTTGCTTCTTGGGCGGTGACTTCCAGGCCATGCGCCCTCCAAGCAACCAGTACCTCTTCCCTTTCGAAGGGAAACATCATTGCAGACTTTGATATCGCCCATAGACGCCCTAGACTCAAACTACTTGGACTGGTACCCGCCTCGACCTAGCCTACAACTACTGGGCCTCTAAAAATGCCAACTTCTGTTTTCTTCTGTTCGGTCTCCAGTCCCCGACACATCTACCGCTACTTGAGTGGTACCGGCCTACCTGCTACTTCAGTGTTTTCCCTGTTGTTCTGAGTGTTGCGGGCCTCCTCCCACTACTCGAGTGTTTTCCCTGCTTCTGTTCTCAATGTACCCATAGGTAAGTACCATCCCTATGGGGCCTCCAAAGCAAACAAGTATTGCAGGGGTCACACACACACTCAAGTCGTCAAGCACTCAGACAGGCATGCAGACCAGCAAGCACGCACACACAGACTTAGAAAACTCGGCAAAAAAGCGGGAATCTCAACAAGGCATTCATTGCAGTGGCAAAACTCGGAAATTGGTTGTGTTCTCACTCCATGTTTGGGCAGGTCCTTACACTACCCCCCTTCAAGAGCGAGGTCCCTCCGAGCAACTAACTCAATCTGAGTCCCTGACAATTTGTTATGACCCTGACCAGTATGACTTGTAATTTTGTCTATCTCGTGACCGCCATTGATTGCACGAGGGATCATATTCTCACCGTGTTTG